TGCGTTGCGATTGTGATAGTGATTATTGTGATAAACGCTGTGGACTGTACGCGACTTGTGCTTGCGTCGGATAGATGTGCACACCCCACCAAAACGTGGCAAGGCGTCGGCTAGCATCGGGTAGCGTCGCATGGCATAGCATCGGATACGTGTGTTCCCGGCTTTAAGAGCGCAGTATAATATACATCCCAAGTAATACATCTACATCTACAACTCCAAAAAAGAAAGTCTGAATAATGTTGGGATTATTTCCTTACTGATGGTCAGACAATAAATTTTCAGCAATTCACGACAAATATGAAATATGCTGTTCAAACCTTCATCCGGTTTCTTTACACCGCAAAAAGTTCTTAACCGCATAACAATGCGATACAGCTTACTTCAACGTTCCAAAATTAACAAATATAAATTTCAACTTACTAATTAACTGGAATAAGTAATATGGTTAATTATGATCATTAAACAAATATGGATTTATTTTGAATGATTTAAGTTAAAACCAGGGAGAATAAAGGTCTTTTGAAAGGGCCTCCTTTTCGTTTCCACTTTATTCCCTGGAATTGGAAAATCTAATAAGGCAATTCCTCCGTACCTTGTCAAGATAGTTGTACGTATCTAATGTGTTCCACGCTTATGGAAAAACCCTCTGCCCAAGAGGATCAAATGGTATCATTTCCGTTCTCGGCTTTCTTCTTTTCCCTTTCCTATTTTTAACCAAAACTTCGATCCTTTGACGAAGGATTTAAATAAACGTTTTGTATTCAGTGGTCTTTAAGAGTAGGAGAAACTATTGTTAACTTAAAATTTTAATAAAACAAAAAGAAACAAACCAGACGTTACAAAATATTGTCACCACTATTCGTGAGATAATCCAAACTGCCACTAGACTATATTGATTGATTTGATGACTTGTGGTATCGAATATGGTGGGTCAGCCATGCGTGATAACTCCCAACTCATTTAAAGGTTCCAATAAAAAAAAAAATGTTATCCCTCCTATTTATGTATCTAACATCACCCTATGCCGAGACATTAATATTCCATTTGTTTCAAAAATAGCTAGTACAAACTCATAAATTTAGATAATCCTGTCCTCACAATGCGAATATACTGGTACTTATTCGGAAATCGTGAGATGCGGTCTGGTGTGATGTAGGTTTCAGGTTCTTTATCATGTCAACGTTTCGAACTTTATTGAGATCATCTTCGGGGCCTGGGATTTACAAACATTGTTTAAATTTAAGAAATAATACTTATAGGATGTGGAAAAAAGTGAATTTATACCACGCAAAAAATATTTTTTGTATTCGATCAAAGTATTTCTACTCACTCAAAATGTTTGTTATCTGCGTAATTGTGCCGTTCTTGCTTGTCGTGTAGAGAGTGTCAGTGAGATATTGCCCTCTATTGAATGGCACAATTAAGCAGAAAACAAACAAACACTTTGAGTGAGTACTTTGATTGAATATAAAAAATATATATTTTTTGCATTGTATAAATTCACATTTTTCCAAATCCTTCTATTGTTACATTTAAACAATGTTTGTAAATCCCAGGCCCCGAAGATGATCTCAATAAAGATCGAAACGTTGACACGATAAAGAAAATGTTTTTCTGAAACCTACATCACACCAGACCGCATCTCACGATTTCCGAATAATCATCGACTAACGGTCACTAATCATCACACATTTATTCTGGTACTTCAGATCAGTTTTACTACAATCCGAGACCAACGACGACTGGAACGCCAATAGCACGTGACGCTCGAGGATTGGTGAATAATACAAGAAGTCTAATACATGAAGAATGAAAAAAGAGCCTTTTTCTTATTTAATCATTAAAGTTTTCAGTCATGTTATTAATACTCATCATTATGAGCACCATATGTCGTTTAGTTATCTTCAATGTTTATCCCGTTTTTTTTAAATTGTCGAGCGAAATCTGCAGAATCTGATGATCTGGAATAATATAAGAATTTTCAATTATTAGCAATAATCGTCGGAAATGTAGTTTTTATAAAATTTTGGCAATTGCATCGTGTTGCTGACAATATAGCCTCTTCTGTCGAACAAAACCAGCATTTCTTGGGTGTATTTCTCAATTTAGAACTGGCATTCGATCGACTGGCACTCGGGCTTGCTTTGGAAACTGAAGCACATCCTCTTTCATACTATTATATATACTATATAATTTCATTCCATGCAGCAATCACATTGGCTGGGTTTCTACGTATTGATGTCAACTTAAAAAAAAAACACGGAGCTATGGGAAATGTTAAATGGTTACCTGCAACACATATGGGCCAGAGTATCAGTTGAACACACTACCCATTAAAAAATGGCCGCTCCAGCCAGAGTAGAAAATTTAGGAAAGGAATTGTATAATCCAGATATCGTAATTTTCACCGATGGAAGTTGCATGGAGGATAAAGTGGGATGCGCCTTCACAATCATTGACAAGAAAGACAACAAACAAAATTATTAAAGGAGAGAAATTAAAGCTGCCACCATGGTGCTCAAATAATCACGCGCAGTTACTGAGCATCGGAGAAGCAATCAGCTGGATGCAACAGAATATGAGTGAAAATAACGTAAGGATAGCCCTAAGTACAGATAGTAAGGTGTCATTAGATATCTTGACCAACCATCGAAATCACAACACCCTTCCCAAAGAAATAAGAGCTATATAATATGAGGGCTACAAAAGGACACTGTACACATTTAAAATAGATAAAGACTCATGAACGACATCAGGGAAACGAACGAGCGTGCCAACTAGCAAAGGAGGCAGCAAGCAACGCAGAATTGCAAGTTGTATTCAGCGCGATTCCCCTTTCTTATATTAAGAAGAACATGGAAAAGGAATCACTAGAAATATGGGAGCTGAATGGAGACAAACCGCAAATGGATGTGAAACAAGGAAATACTTCCCGACCATAGAATCTCGTATGAAAGCAGCATCAGCCATACTCACAAAACCACCATGGCATTGTCAGGTCGTAGAAAGCACCAGTCACATCTCACTCGACTTGGCGTAATGGATGATGCAACATGGTCATGTAATGGCTGGGGCACACATTGTATTCAGTTGCTGGATGTTCGACCAAGAAAGGACATGCCTCATATAATATATATAATTTTGAGAGGGTATAGATTGCCACAACATGAATCTGTGTGGGTCCAAACTATAGCCTGGAATTGTTCAAATTTATAAACTCAATTGACATGAACAAACTATTAAGTGATAACTAAGTGCAATAAATTTAAAGATACTAAGACTGTTATTTATCAAAAATGTATATAATGTAATATACGGATTGTTAAATACCTGCAATCACTATGGGAGGAGGTAGAATAAATTCCCTGGTCACAGGGTGTAATTAGGGCGATTATTCCTCAGGGAAGTATACTTGGCCCATTTATATTTTCAATATACACTTCACATATTGCAATGTTATAGCGACTCTTATACATAATTCCGATTCCTCAATTAACACACAACTCTTACAATACCTGAATGAATTAACAGTATGGTTCACAAATTGGAGAATGAAGATAAACCTAACGAAAAGCGTACAGATAAATTTTACCTTACGTAAAAATATCCGTCCTGCAGTGAATGTAAATGGAATCCCATTGCCTACCACTGACCTTGTGCGTTATCTTGGACACTTTTCATGGATAAACGACCGACCTGCGTAAAAAGACTAGTTGACTAACGATCAAAATTAGACATAGAAAACATACTTTTAATTTACAAGACAATGATTAGACCTTTTGGGCTTACGATTGTGAAGTGATGGGCTCAACTACGGAATCCAATTCCCAGCGACTACAATCTATCCAATCTAAAATTCTCCGTCAAATTATAAATGCTCCTTTTTACGTTTCAAATTACACTATTCATAACAACCTACACATCCAGTTTATACATGAACTCATTAAAACCCGCTACACAAAAATTCATCAATCACTGAACATACACAATAATCCATCATTATGACAGTTATCACTTTCAACCCTGCCTGAAAATCTTCCAAGACGATTGAAGTGAAAGTGGCTCGGAGACCTTTTCATTGAGTGAAGATTGAAAAGATTTGAGTGTGAAGGAGTGCTGCCACTGGGCAACTGCTTCTACAAAAGACTGAAATGACAAATTCAACATGCTTGAACATATTTGCTTAATACAATATTATTAGTTGTAAATATCAAATAAATGTAATAAAATTTTTTTGTTCTTAAAATTACATCACTTTTTACTATTATAATTACTTTACTGATTCAAAAATCAATAAATTTAAAGAAAAACTTATGTTCGTATATTTCTGAAACATGTGCCAACTTTTTCAATTAATTCACCTCTTTTATGTTCTGCCAAGCAAGAGATTGGTTTTTCTTGTGTTCCAGTTTTTCCATTATTTATTTTTATTGTATTTAAAGTAGTGTGGAACTTTTTCTATATCAATGATGGATTTTGTAAGTTGTGTTGTTAGAGTTTTTGTAAATACTATTTTAGTTTTTCATGAATATTAAATATAAACAAAACAATTTTTTTGTGTCAGATTAAAAAACACAGAAAAGAAAAATTCCAGAAAATCTTCGAAAGAGGGTACTGTTAATAATTTCTTATTCCCCATTAGACAGCCAGGTATCTCGGTTCATTTAGAAAATCCTCTTTGTGGAAGGTTCCTGGCTTAGTTGGAAGTTGTTCTGTTTACTGAATAAATAACTGTCTTTTATAAAGTGTTTTCGTTCGAGTTGCGTTTCTACTCGTACCCCAAGACTATGTTAAATAATAGAGAAACTGACAATCGGGTTGACCTTAGGGGCCGGAGTAGACGGGAATGTTCAACATCCATCGGACCTGCAAGTTTTGTTTATTTCCGAAACTAAGTTGAGGATAAGTTCGAAGGGGTAGATCCGGCCGGAGTCCCTATGTAATTTCGCCCGGGTGGCGCACTTTTATGACATTGGATTAAATTTAAATATTGGACTCACCGAAAATTGGGTTGCCCCTCGGGGTGGCCAGCCCGCCCATTGTCAGGACGTGGGAGTGGTCGGAAGTGACGACGATGAGAGTTTCCGACTGATCGACCGACTCCAAAACTGAGAGCAGGGCCTCCTCCAAAACCAAAGTTTCGTCCAAGGCTCGGAACGGATTGTTATAGTGGTGTGCATGGTCAATACGGCCACCTGAAAAACACAAGGGAAAAAATCAAACCCAATAAGAACCAATTAAGAATAACGTTAATATAAAATCTAAATATTTGCAACAGTAAGTAAAATTCTCGCTTGGCGAATGAAACAACATACATTAAAATATGTTATTGATTCATACATATAAACAAAGGGTGATAAAAAGGCTTATCCCTACATTTTTAGTTGATTTTTTAATTTACAGCTTTTTTCCTTAAATTATTCAAAATTCACAAGACGAATTATCACACGATATCCGACCTGAGAAAGAGTTCACTTTTTTACCTATTACATAATCTTAAAATCATATCGAACCTACAGAAGCTTTCCAGTCTGAAAGTGGCATCAATGGCCCCTATTTATCAAGCGGCTATCGCACAGATGGAGGGGTATCACAGGGAAGCATCTTAGGACCCATCGCCTACACACTATACACCGCATACGTTCCTACTCTTTCTGAAGCGATACTTACTCCCATCCAGATGATACCGCCATACGATAATAACAGCTCAACCAGAAAACTGCCAACCCATGCCACCTCTCTTCAGCAGTGGTAGAAGCGATATAATGTGACAATGAACAAATGCACATGCAGACATGTCATCATATTTCATCCTTCGCTGAATAGCCACTGCTCTCAGTTACTACAATATTAGACTTTGGAACCAGCTTTTACAATCCTCTACCTGGGGCGGCACATCGACCAAGACTTAATTGGAACCCTCACATGCGACTCAAAAAAACAAGAGTTTGCTTCACACTTTCTAAAGTATTGCTGGAAAAACAGCAAAAGTCACTACAAAATAAACGATTCATTTATAATCCTATTTTGAGAAATATACTGCATAGAACTTTGGTGTCCAAAAAAAGTTCCAACCGCCAAAGAACCACAAGAAGTCTCTAATGATCACAATAAGAACCCTAGGCAACTCATGTGGGTTAAAACCGAAAATGGATCATTGGCTATACTGACAGTAATAAAACTCAAAATAACCTATGGATCATTAATCTGGTGGGCCAAAGCTCAACAGAAATTAGTTACCCAAACACTAGGTTAGCAAAAAGTATCACACGGGTAATGAGATCGACCCCTGCAAATGCACCAGAAATTTTGCTAAAGCTACATCACTGGAAATATTCATACACGGGGAAGTTACGAAAAGCCCATTTAGGCTTCAAAATTAAATCAAATTGGATGGTAACTAAACAATTCTTGGAAATGGAGACTGACTATATGATCTCGGAACCATTCTTTACAACATTCTATAAAGCCTCAACGAATTACAAACTAGAGGAAGAACACAGGAGAGCATCAGACATACAGATGGCTCCAAAACAAACGAAGGAACCGGATCATTTACTGTACAAGCCACATGAGCAATCAAACTCATTAGGGAAGTACACTTCGGTCTTTCTAGCAGAAATGCCCTATAAAATCATAAAAGAAGTATTACTAGCAAAAACGTACTCATACGATTCGATAGCCAAACAGCTATTAAAGCATCACCGTGTAAAAAATCACATCAAAATTAGTCAGTGAATGCATCCAAAATCTCCAAAACTAGGGAAACAACAACCTGATGGTACCTGGGGTGCCAGGGCACAAAGAAATTTTCGGTATCGAAAAAGCAGTCACACTGGCCAAAGGAGGATCTGCAAGACCCTCTGGTAAGCCCCAAAATCTATACTTGGAAAATCAAAAATAAATACAGAATTCTCCATCTCATAATAGATCCAAATAAAACAAAACGACAAGTGGATAAATGGCGGCGCTAGACCGAGTAAACTTATGCTAAAACAAACCTCACCAAGACTGGCAAACACAGTGCTGCAGTTGGAGACGGCCAGACTCAGAGGAGTGATAGGATTTTTAACACTCAATGCCATCTGTGAGAACATCTACACAACATAGACATACATAACGATGATCTGCAGTGTGATGGGGAGGAGGAAACAGCCATCCATATCATCTTCCGATGTGAAGCAATGGCTCAATGAAGACATAACCTAGCATACATAAAAAACCTAGGGAATGAAATTGTAGTAACAACAGTCAATGTACTAAAACATCTGAGAAGAAGGATTGAGTCGATTGCACTGAACCAGGGTACTAGGAAGGTACAATAAGCCAGAAGGCTTCAGTGCCTGGGGAGCATAAACCCCGCTTCCTAATATCCTCATCAACATCAATGCCAACGCACCTAATTTCTACAACCCATAATCCTCCAAACTATCGCCAATTCTACGTATCCAATCTCAACATTCATAATGACCTTAATATCCTGTATATCGTTGAAGTGGCGAAAAACCGTTAAAAGACGTTTTACAAACAAATATCCTCTCACACAAACCTTCATGTCAGAAACTTTCATGCCGCACCCTCATCACTGGCCTCGCAACTTCTTTAGTAACGTGATTTACGCTAACATTCAAGAATGACTACTAATGAGTAGTTCCTCTTCTTTCATATTTATGTAGATTATTAATTAAGGTTTTTAGTTGAGATGAAAAAAAAGTTAATGGCACGAGAGGGATTCGAACACACGACCTTCGGCTAGATACGCCGCTGCTCTACTACCTGAGCTATTGTGACGTCGATCCACTCGGACATCAACTTCCCATCTCAACCCCACCGGGTTCGAATCCCTCTCGTGCCATTAACTTTTTTTCATCTCAAATAAAAACCTTAATTAATTGTCGTGTATTGATTGGTCAAGCGGACCACGAAAGTAGTGAATTTATGTAGATTTTTATATCTTTGTATTTAATTTTGTTTTGCATTGCGCTCTTACATGTTATCAAATTACTTGAAAGTGAAAAATTGGCGCTGGTGTATTGTGTAAATAAATTAAATAATTCATTATAAAAAGTGTAAATTGTAAGTAGACTTACTTTCCACGAGCAAGAAAAATCCTTTGGAGTTTTTCTGCAGGATGCTCAGTGCCTTTTTGGTCATCTCTGCTAGAGAGGGATCGCCCTTTGGACTTTTGTCACGATCAGCCTCGAAGTCCATGTGCGAATAGGCAAAGAGACCTAAAAAAATAATTTTGTTTTAATTAATGTTACATCACAGGTATATAAATATAAAAAATTAACGATTTATCTTCAATAAAATAATATGTAATGGATAATTTAATTGTCTTAAACAGTATTTTACTTTTTTTACTTTTTCTAATTTATGATTTTTTTAAAAGTTTAAAACTAATTCATTTTTATATCCGATAAATCTTATCAGCCCTTAAACCATAATTCAATTTGAATTCAATTGGTATGAAATTCACTTCTTCAATATTCTTGAATCTAACTTTAATAAATAGCCCTTAATATTCGTTACATGTTTAATAACATTAGATATTATCCAATTTAATTTGATGTAGTAAGTGTTAATAAATGGTACGATTGTTTCTGTGTTCTATGTGTTTCGTTTTTAATAATTGCCTTAAGACATTAAGTTTTAATCTTTAGATTTTTAAAAATTATTTTATTTGTACCCTTTGCATAATTGTAAATATTACAAATGTGATCACAAAACATTTTTCACACGGTGACAGTACTACCACTAAAGCAATAGCTGCACCCGGCGGGCATACGCAATGTGAAATCATCCAATTGTGGCACTCAGTGTGACTAAGTGGCAAGAGGTCCCGAGGTCATCGTCGATTATGGTGACGTGGCGGTTTCTCGGGATGGGAATGTGTAGCGAGAACCGAGCAGTAGGGTTGGTGGGAAACCTATCGAATCGGTATCAATTCTTTGAAAACGTGGAATGTTGAGGTAGTTTTGGAAAGTGAGGTAAGTGGCGTAGTAAGGAGCTTTGACGATTTGTCTGAGAACTTTTAATTTGATGTATTGGATGTGCTGGATTTTGCATGGCTTGGCAGAACCCCACACATACCTACTCAAACCTATGGAACCAGCGAGTATACCAATATTCAGAGAATACAAAGTTTTCATTCCAAAGTTTTAAGACCAATTGTTTCTGTCCCTTTTTACGTAAATAGTAACACACTTCATATATGGATCTTCACATGCCAACAGTTTTTTCACGCATCAGAAGATATTACAGACTTTTCATAGTAAATTTTAAAATCACACAAATACGATTACTCCGTTCCTCACGATTACCAAGTAAATATCTAAAAAGAAGATGGTAAGAGGCCTCTTAAATGATTAATATCATTTTATTAATCTAGAGTGGCTGCAGAATGGGTAGCTTTTTCTGTAATGCCACAAACATAAATTAAAATCTAACTTCACTAAATCCACTATTTTTCGTTGTCCGCTTGACCAATTAATATCATTCAATTAATTAAGGTTTGAAGTTGCGAAAAAAAGTCAGTATCTCGAGCGGGATTCGAACCCACCGCCTTCGGCTAGAAACGCCGCTACTCTTCTAATTGAGCTGACATTATAATGGCTAGATAGATAAATAGATTACACGACATTTGAAAACTGGTAAAAAGGAGAGAAAATTCAAAAAGGTGGGGTTGAGATGGGAAGTTAGTGCCCGAGGGGATCGAAGTCACGATAGCTCAAGCTGCCGTATCAAGCCGAAGGTCGCGGGTTCGAATCCCGCTCGTGACACTGACTTTTTTATCTCAACTTAAAACCTTAATTAATTAAAATCTAACCTACAGGTTGAATATAATACACGTACAGTTGTAGATAAAAATAAATGAATTAACAAAATAAATTGAATATATGTTAATTTTTGTTATATATAAAAACACCTTGATAACATAACATGTTTTACATTTGGTGTCTATTCTACGTCATATTTCCTCATGATCGATCATGTGATAAGAGACGATGTGTTAAGCTGTATTTATAAAAAGAAGGGCGGTTAATTCACCATGTAAATTTGCTCGGCGGGCCGTACATAAATAAATCCACGTTTGAGTAATGCTGGAACTAATGTCGGATCGGGTCTGATCACCATTTTACCAGCCGGCCGGCGACTATCCATTTATAACGCCGTCGATACTTTCAGAATGCAGATTCGCTGTTTGTCAACTTTTGTTGAGAGAGGGATGATTAATAAAATTTGTTGCTAGGCCCCTTGGCTAAAAAGATAAAATACGACCTGCATATTGGAAGTTAATAATTTCCGCCGAAAGATACATTCAAACAGAGGTTAATTTTTTATAAGATTATTTTAAAATAAAAAAATTCCATCTTTTGAGTGTCAATTAGCAGACTTGTCGATACCAATTTTTCTGTTGTCTACTGCTAATATAATATAATAAAATCTGAGTAAGTGTAGGTGTTTTGTTTTGTTAATTTTCTATAAGTACAAAAGTCAGTTATCTTTATAGAATTGTTTATTACAAGAATAGAGAACAAATCACATAAATTACACCTCTTTCTAACACTAATGCTGAGGCCGTTGGTGTTTTAGATGTCTTAGATAATTATCAGAAAAGATTCAAGATAATAGATGTTGGACAAAGGAGTTTTGAGTTTTAAATAGACGTTTGTGAGTAATTGGCACTAGAGAGTTAGAGTCGATTAATAAGGATAGCTACAAATCTGTTACAAGTACAAGTAAGATTTACAAAGAAATTATTGGCAGGTAAGCCAAAGAAAACTAGGATTCTGATTGGACTCCTGACAGAGCACTGCCGGCCAAGGAGCCACATTGAACGGAAAGGAGTAACTTAAGACGCACTGTCCAGATACTACCAGGAAGGTTAGGAGACCGCTGAACACAGTTTATATTTTTTTGAGTGATTCTTGCAAAAGAAGAGGAAAAGCAGGAAGCGAGTTCCTGCACTAAAAAGCAGCTGGAAACTCTAGGAGTTTGATTATCAACATGTAGATGGGCAATGAGTTGTAAAACTGGAGGAGTTCAATAGATCTGCGAAGGTCGAAGTGCAGATGACCTTGTGACCACCTCTCTTATGGTTATCGCTTATGTCAAGCCACAATTCCCTGGTTAAACCAGACTGTATCTAGTCCAAACAGAACAGAAATAAGGGGAAATTTTCACAAATAAAAGTGGAAGTAGAATTATACTAGGAGCTGATTGTACACTGCAAATTTCTGGTCATATGGCAGCAGAGCCAAGGAAAAATAATTAAGGCTTATATGTCCTCTATTGGTGCGTAGGCCTAGTAAAAGTGATGCCTACTCCTGGGAGGGGAAAGTCCTAAACCTAAAGGACTTAACGACGAGTTCTAGACGATGATGAACATTACCAAATGACTGATATTGATCGTCGTGTTCAAAGCCTTATTAAAGGTTCTTTTTTATAACCGTTAACCTTTTAAGGTTGAAGAACAGTGTATTTGAACAATGGATTGAACGATTTTGAACTGGAGTGACTGAAGAGTAGTCAGGCCTGGTTGAAAAACCTCAGATTGACGACTGATGTGTCCTCGTCCAGAGCATGTTTCTGTTGTCGACTAGTCTTTTGTATAGTTTATACCGTCAGTTCAGTTTCATTTTTTAAATTCTAGTGTGGGGCTCAAAGTTAGTAGTATGTCTATGTAACGTATTGCCAGAATTGTCAGGTGTACTCTTTCGAAACGGATAGTCAGCAAAGTAAATGGATATAGAATTGGATCAAAGATACTGCCATGCGCAACACCCCCTTCGGCTTAGTGGGAAAAAGCGAAGAAAAGAAACCTTATAGCATTGTTGTAGCTAGAAGTAAATATAAAATTAACATTTCGTTGTAATACACAGCTGTTTATTTTAAAATAAAAAAATAATAATATACTTTTAAGGGTTACATTTTCTATATGTCATTCCAACTTGCAATAAAGTGATTGTTTAATGGTAATAAGCAAAGAACAATTAAACGTTTTTAATACTGTTGTCAAAATCTAATGTGATTGGTTTGAACAAAAACATGTGTTGATTTATAGTGAAATATTTAGGTCAAAAATCTGTTTTTCAGTTCTTTCCGTTGGTCGGACGACTGCCCTGTTTGAGGTGCCAGGGCGTCAATGTCCCACGAATTGGCCTATAAAAGTCCGATCACCTCCTCGTGAATATAAACGAAGTACTTTCCAGGGAATACGTGGGGTCCCCATGCATCCTTGTTAAGTTTGGAGTAGAAGGAACCGGTCTCGCCTTGTTAAAATAGATGCTAATCGTCGACCTTATTTCAAATGCAGTCCCAATGCGGTCAAATTGACACTTGAGTATGTAGAATTTTGGGGAAAAACAGAGTGGAAGAGAGGATTATCTGATTCAATAGTCAATCGGGTCTTTTTAAATTTTTTCATTAGCGTTTTATTATGATTAAAAAGAGAAACGGGACTAAATTAACTCTTATTACATCACAAAATTAAACACCTCAATTTGTTGCATATTAAATATGGCATAATATCTTTTCAATATAACTAAAGAAGATTCCTGGGTGACAATCCCAGGTGAAAAATAATCCTGGGTGTTAATTAAACTTCCTTTGATAAAACGAATTGCAGACCAGATGAACTAATTACTTTCCTCTAATTAGGCCCCAATATTATTAAGAGCCACAATTATTTGCACTGAGCTTGATAGTAATTTGGAGATATTTATAATGGTTGCCAATTTCAATAATAGATCCTTAATATTACCGTTTATTCAGAAGCCTCCAATCTATCGCATTTACGATAAATCAAAATCGTTGATTTCAGGGTAAATGCTATCTACAATAAAATGCAACTATGTTGATATTTATCTGTAGACGTGTTAGTACACTTTTATCTATTGTGTACGATCTCTGTTAATACATTACTGGGAGATTTTAGTTTCTTTTATAAAGAACAGAATTCAACTCAAGGTATCAAGGTCTCCATGGCACAAAAATGGCTTTCATATGTATCACAGTCTTTTCCTAGATATTGAAAAAGACGTTGAATTGGACATTCATTATGTCTTTCTATAAATTTTTTCGTGAATGCAATGTTTTATGTCCATGGATGTCCATCTTTTTAATTTTTATTTTCTCTCATCTCTTCCTCTCGAAATCCATCCCAACTGCTCTCACTTTCTCTCCAGTAGCAAACTATTTTCTTTTTTAAAGCAAAACTTATACAGGG